GGCCAAAAATACCAGGCGCCCTCAGGAGGTCCAGCAGTGGGGCCAGAACTCCAGAAGCCCTCCCACTGTTGCGCCCCCCCCCAAGGCACCAAGAATACAGAGCATCACTTGCCCCAGACCGAGAGTTCCTATCTATACCTTGTGAGCCCCCATGGCCAGGGGACACAACCTGGCTCTCCCAACCCCCCGCCCCCGCTTCTGCCTCGGAGGAAAGGCAAGCGCGCCCGCCTGGAGGCATGGCCGGGCGCTTCTCCGCCTGTTCAGGCTGCCGCGGGGGTGGGGAGTAGGGAGCACGCACGGAGGCAACCGGCCGGGCTGGGGGGGGGCGCGCTCGCCTGCCTGCCTACCGGCCCCTCCTCCTTCCTCCTCCTCCTGCGGGCCAGGCCCAGGGCAGCAGGCGCTCTCTCCGGGCCCCAGCACCTGGCGTCACTCTGTCTCTCCCCCCCCCCCAAGGCGGCCAGCTGGGAGGTCTCCAGGCCCCACCGGGAGGATGGCATCTGAGGGGGGCGCCACGAGGCGGCCTCGCCTAGGGCGCACAAACCCTCGCGCCGGCCCTGGATACACCCCAAGATCATATTAGCCTTTTTTTGTCGCTGCATTGGGTTACCTCTCGTTGTTCTGTTCGAAGGCAAGTTTTGGTCCTGTAAACACTGTAGTAGCCTCTAAGGGTGCCGTTTAGAGCCAGGGAGACCTTGCCCAACATTGAGATAATAGAAAAGCATTAAGGAACTGAAAAGGGATTCCCAGCAGTGGTTCTTTGTTCCCGAGGAAGGACCAGAGGTCTGAAACCCTGAAAAACTACCTGGGAAAAGTGTTGGGCTTTCTATATATAATCCTGTCTATTTACTCTTTGGCCTCTGTATTTTCCTAGGATGGATTGGTTGGGCACATTGACTGCATATAATGGATATATTACACTTTTATGAAGTCTCCTTTATGAATATGTTGCGGGAAATAGAGCACACAGTTGTTTTGCTGGTTTTTTTGTCACTGTTCGAAGAGAGCCAGTTTGGTGCAGTGGTTAAGTGCGCGGACTCTAATCTGGGAGAACCGGGTTTGATTCCCCCACTCCTCCACTCGCACTTGCTGGATGACCTTGGGCAAGCCGTAGTTCTGATAAGAGCTGTCCTTGAAAAAGAGCAGTTTCTGTCAAGAGCTCTCTCAGCCCCTTTTACCTCACAGGGTGTCTGTTGTGGGGAGGGGAAGGGAAAGGAGTTTGTAAGCCGCTCTGAGACTCCTTTGGGTAGTGAAGGGCGGGGTATAAACCCAATCTCTTTATTTTCTTCTTCCAAAATGCCCTTTTCGTAACGCAAAGATGAAAGCTGCCTGGTTGCCATGAACGCAAGATTGCGAAGTAAAAAGCTAGGTGGAAAGAGAGAGATCTGAAGCAGATGCAGGGGAGCCCGGAGTTTCCAGGTGGTCGCCTGGAGGCAACTCTTCATTCGCCCTAGGCGAGCGCCGGATTCCGTGTCTGCCGTACTTGTAGCAGGTCGCAGCCATCTGATTTTCCCCTTTCTTTCTTTTCTCTCGGGCAGATCGTCCTTGGTTGCAGGAGAGAAGCAAGGTGGAGAGGCTGCAGAACAACCTGGAACTGGCCTTCAAGCACATGTTGCGGAAAAACCACCGGGAAGGCATCTTGGCCAAGGTGGGCATCGTCGGTGTTTGAAGCCGGAACGAGAACTGTGGGTTACAACAAACAGGATGCTGGGAAATCCACGATCGGATTTTCCCGGTGTCTTCTTAAGCTCGATTAGAGCTACACGGGGCTTCCAGTTCAGATCAGAGCCACCCCAGGATAGAGGTTTAACTGTCTCCCCCTCCCCCAGTTTCACAAACGGAAAGATGGTTTCCCACGCTATTGAGAGCCAGTTTGGTGTCGTGGTTAAGGGCGCGGACTCTGATCTGGGAGAACCGGGTTCGATTCCCCCACTCCTCCCATCGCACCTGGCTGGGTGACCTCGGGCAAACCATAGTTCTAATAAGAGCTGTTCTTGAAAAAGAGCAGTTTCTGTCAAGAGCTCTCTCAGCCCCGTCTACCTCACAGGGTGTCTGTTGTGGGGAGGGGAAGGGAAAGGAGTTTGTAAGCCGCTCTGAGACACCTTCGGGTTGTGAAGGGAGGGGTATAAATCCCGTCTTCTCCTCCTCTTCCATTTTTTCTTGGAGAGCCCATTTGGCATAGTAGTTAAGTGCATGGACTGTAATCTGGGAGAACCGGGTTTGATTCCCCCACTCCTCCACTCGCACATGGCTGGATGACCTTGGGCAAGCTGTAGTTCTGATAAGAGCTGTTCTTGAAAAAGAGCAGTTTCTGTCAGAGCTCTCTCAGCCCCGCCTACCTCACAGGGTGTCTGTTGTGGGGAGGGGAAGGGAAAGGAGATTGTAAGCTGCTCTGAGACTCCGAGTGAAGGGCAGGGTATAAATCCAATCTCCTCCTCCTCCTCCTCCTCCTCCTCTTCTTCTTCTTCTTCCTCTGCCTCCCCCTCGTCTTCTTCCTCTGCCTCTTCCTCCTTCTCCTCCTCCTCTTCTTCTTCTTCCTCCTCCTCCCCCTCTTCTTCTTCCTCCTCCTCTCCTCCTTCTCCTCCTCTTCTTCTTCTTCTTGGCGGACCACATGTTTCCCAAGCAGCTGAAGGGCCCCTTCATTCTCAGGTGGCTGCAGCTGGTCGGGCTTGGGGCGGGGTTTCCATGCCGGCCAGCTGGCCAGAGGCTGGCCGAACCCCCCAAAAATCAGGGAAACCCCCGCCCGGACCAGGGGTCTGGCAACCCTACTTCCAGCTGGATTGTCGGAAGTGATGTCACGGCGTCATGGGAAGCCTTAGGTGTACGTTTCCACCACCGCCACGCCAGTCTAGGGTTGCCAGCAGGCAACCAGCCAGGGGGCTGTGGGGGAGACAGCGTTCACAGCAAAAAAAAATTTTTTAAGAAAAACAAGGCCTCCCCCCCGCTTACAGGAAGTTCTGACCACAGAGTTTCTGGGGATTGCTAGAGTTACCTTTGCCACTTCCGGGTAGTCCTAGGAATCATCAGGAACTCTATGGTCAGAACTTCCTGTAAGTAGAAGAGACTTCATTTTTCCTCGGCAGGTCGGGGCTGCCATTGGCTGGGGGCGAATGGGTACCCCGGGCTCGTGTGCCACGTTCCCCTCGGGCCCCCTTGGAGACGTGGCCTGCAAAAGCAGGGGATGAGTGTTTGAACGAGAGAGTGACCGTCCCCGCTCGTGTGTGTCCCCCCCTCCTTTGCCACAGCTGCCCTCGAAAGCCAAGCTCCGGAGCCTCTGCCACCAGCACATGGAGAAGCTGCGGTCATTCCGCCAGATGTACCCCATCATCGTCCACGCCGTCTTCCCACCGCTCTACAAAGAGCTGTTCAGCTTGGACTGCGACCCTCCCCAGGGGACGGCCGGGGAGTAGCGCCCCCCACCCCAGTCGCAAGAGGAGGGCTGCGCCCGGAGGTCTCTTCCCATCTCTCTGCCTCTCTCCGATCTGCCGGTTTGCCCTCTGGGGCCGACACCAGAGGACCCAGGGCGGAGGGGGGGGGTACGGGAGGGCAGGAGAACCCAAGACCAAAATTAAGATCCCGTTTCCACGCATTCCTGTCCAAAGAGCGCGATCGGGAGCAGAATGCCTGGGGGTGGGGTGGGGAAAGGGCTGTGTTGTCCCAACGTCGATTTTGGTACGTGAACCTTGGAGCCGCTTCGTGCCCGAAGGAAAAGGCGGGGCGAGCCCACGGCGGCCACCCCGCATCGCAGGAACGGCGGGTTATGGGGTGTGAGCAACGTCGATGGAAGATGCTCGAGGGCTGGGCGCCGTTTGACGCACAAACTGTTAATTAACGGAGGGTCTCGTGGCCACAGGGTACTCCTGAGAGGAGGAATTTTTGGGGTTCTTTTATTTCTCTCTCTCTCTCTCTCTCTGTGACGTGGTCTCATTGGACGGGCAAAGTCCGGTTGTATGATATTAAACTGCTTAAGAATTTAATAATACCGTATACTTAGACAAAGCTCATTTTAGCAGAATAAGAAACTGTATACTTAGTGATCTGCAAAATATGTATATGTATATTATATATATATTATATATATTATATATATATATCTATTTTTGTAGACAAATGTGGTTCTATAAGATAGATCTCTATTTTTAAGTGTCTGACCGCTTCTTTATTTGAAAACGAAGGAGTCCCGATTTCTCTCTCTTTTTCTCTTTTTTCTCTGTTGTCAGCAAACTGGCTTCTTTTATGAGATTCTAAAAACCAGCAGCTTTCTGAGTAATAACAACAGTGACCCTGTCGCTTTTGATTCATTTTTTTAAAAGAATGTGTTGGATTTCCAGGTTCCTTGTGCCAGGGAATGCGTCGGTATTAATCAGAGCCAATTTATAGGGACTAACTCAATAATTGAAAATAACCAAAAGGCAAACTCCTAATCTCATCAACCCTCAGACAATCGTGTCCAATATTGGCTCACCTGCTTCCGTCCCTTCAACCTCAGATATTAATGGGATAGTCCCACTCATTGCACTGTTGTGTATTTGAACTGTCTTTTACATCCCAATGGCAACATGGGATCCATTTTGCAATTTTTACGTGTTACAGCCATATGTGTGCTAGTGGATGGGGGGGGGGGAGACTGTCATCCACGGAATGTTGATAAATGGCACAACTTCTGTGAGCAAAGTGAGATTTTGGTCCCTAAACCCAAAAAGGAGTCTTAGCCGAGATGAACGGCTTGTTCTGTCGGCAGGAGAACAGGATGCTGAGGAAGCCGTTAGAGACGGCGTGATTTGAACTCGCCGCTATCCGAGTTTTTTGTTCTTGACAAAGCACCTCCCTCTGCAGTGCAGCAAAGTCTGTTCACTGCACTACTAAACTGCATTAATTTTTTTTTCCCCTGCCAGTTTAATTGGCATGGCTTCCCCCAACTAATTCTAGGTTTTATCGTTTCCCGAGGGGATAATGACTCGTCTTTCTGGGAGAGAGAAGGGTAGAGCGCGTGCAAACAATCCCTTAATTATTTCTTTTCCTAGGGCAGCTGCTCGATTTGAGGAAAGTTTAGTTGATTTAATTCTGCCTGGGTTGTTTGTTTGTTTTTTAGAGTTTTATTTTGATTCTTACAAAGGATATTCAGACATATACCATGTCCGGAGATTTACTTGTTAAATATGATTTCCAAGGAAAATAAAGAAAACGAGGTATATGTATTGACTTATATTCTCACAGCAACTAGAATTTTAATAGCAAAACACTGGAAGCAAGAAAAGATCCCAACGACAAAGGAATTAGCTACGAAGCTTTTGGAAGTGGCAGAAATGGACAAATTGAATCCAATTCTACAAGGAAAAGATGATAAGATATTTCAAGAAAGATGGGGTGGAATATATAAATGGATAAAGGAAAAGAATATGTAATAGACTCCTGAATGGTATATATATATGTGGGGGGGGGGGGGAAATTCTGCCTGGGTTTTAAGCGACCAGTGAAACACGCGGATGCTCCGCACGTGAATGAAACGACACTTCTGAAGCAAAAATTTAAAAAAGGATTCTTTGCTTTGAACTGATGCATTCCCCAGCCCTCACAGTATCAGAAGAGGCATTCCTTCCTGGGTGAGACAGATGGAGGAATGCCTCTTCAAAGAGGGCGTCCCACTACCCATGGCTTGGTTAATAACTTGCATTTCGGATCACCACTTTTTTAAGTCGATCAAAAGATTCTTGATCAACTGAACTGCAGGCTGTGGAAGGTCGGTAGTTCAGCAGTTCGAGACCCAGGTGCCGCGCGACGGAGTGAGCTCCCGTCTCTATTTCCAGCTCCTGCCAACCTAGCCGTTCGAAAGCAAGAAATTGCGAGTAGATAAATAGGTACCGCTTCGGTGGGAAAGTAACAGCGTTCTGTGCGCCTTGGTGTTTAGTCATGACGGCCACATGACCACGGAAACGTCTTCGGACAGCGCTGGCTCTTCGGCTTGGAAACGGAGATGAGCACCGCAACCCTAGAGTCGGATTCGACTGGCTTTCGAGCAAGGGAAACCTTTACCTTTACCTTACCATTTGGGTATTTTAAAAAAAATAGAAGAACAGTGTAGAATTATTATAAATAAATTAGGCTTAACGGAATCTCTGCCTGCCTGCCTGTCTGTCTCTGTCTCTCTCTTCCTCTCTCTCTGTGTTATAGTTTTTAACAAGTTAAATAATTTGACTAAATTGGTTTAAAAGTCAGGCAGTATTAACTATAGTAAGACTTAAAACAGAGGTTTAGCCGTAATATTTTCCACTTGAGTTCCGATTACTTTGGAGGGTACATGGACACAAGGGTGTGTCCTGGAGAGTTTGGGGTAAAGGGGTTTATTAGCTTTTTCTCTTTTTATTCCCCCCATTTTAATGTTCTGGTTATTACGCTATAAAACCGTCTTGGTAACTTCAAGGCTATTTTTGAAAAGAGAAAATTGTATACTTTTTTAAGAGACATGTGGTTTTTATATGACGGAAGCAAAAAAATTGAATTTTTCCGGAATGCGTGTTCATCAAGGGCTGCCAACACCAGCTTGGGAAATGCCTGGAGATTCGCGATTGGGTTTCAGGAAGAGAGGGCCATTTCTGCCATTTCTGTCTCTTGCTAATTCCCTCAATCCAAACTGAGACGGGCAGTTCGGGTAACAGTCAATGTTCCCTCTAAGCTGTGGAGTCTTGTGAGCAAAAATTCTACTTTGTGAGCTCTTGGCATTCAAGTTGTGAGCGAGCGATCTGGCTGCTGCGGAAATTCCTTCCTGAGCTAAGATAAAAATGTGTGAGCCGGAGGCTAAAAAACTGTGAGCTAGCTCACACTCACTCAGCTTAGAGGGAACACTGGTAACAGTAGAGTCCAACCATTTTCTCCAGGAGAACTGATCTCTCTACTCTGGAGATCAGGTCATTCCAGAACATCTCCAGGCCTCACCTGGAGTTTGGGAACCCAGAAACAACATCCGTGACAAAAATAACGAAGGGTCAATAAAGATCTGTTTGCAATATCATTTACTGTAGTGATTCTGTCGAAAATTCTCTTCTATTTTCACTCACACGCAACGAATGCTGCGCAATGTAAACCATTCGTTTCACAGCAGCCTAATACATTGCGAAGACCTTGAGGGGTCCTGTTCTTGGAGAGTCAACATGGGATGTTTCTGTCAAGAGTTGAAAGGTAGAAATTGATAAGAATTGTGCTTGCTACATGTGCAGATAAAGCTATTCTTGTGAAACGAATTGTTTACATTGTGCAGCATTCATTGCGTGTGAGCGATAATAGACGAGAATTTTCTACAGAATCGCTACAGTAAATGATTTTGCAAATGTATCTTTTTTTCAAAAACAATTTATTAGGATATATTATCAGTTCAAATACACAACATATTATTTATTATACATCCTTTCTCCTCTTCCCCCCCCCCTTTCTGGCTTCCCACAGTGCTTCGACCTCCAGCCCATTTCTTAGTTCTTTTCTATTTTCCACTATCTTTTAATCGTAATCTATCGGTAACACTTCCTTCTACTATTATTTTCTCTTAGTTAACTTTCATCTAATATCGTTAACTTTTCAGTAATTATCAAAGCAAATTAAATTGTCTTTTACATCCCAATATTTATTTTGCAAATGTATCTTTATTGACTCTTCATTATTTTTGCCTCGGACGTTGTTTTTGGATTCCCACTTCCTCCCATGGTCTCTCATTTTGGCTTCTCACCTGGAGTTTGGCAACCTTTTCATCCCTAAGTCCGGGGGGGGGGGGGGGATTTGAATGTAATTCAATGTAAAAGATGTTGAATGTAGTTCATTGTTCTTTGAGATCTCTCCTGGCCCTCGAGGAACCGGTTTCAACAGTTCCATCATTTCTTCCGCTTTGTGGCAGAGAAGGCCCCAGGTCCCTAGCTTCCATTCCAGGCTTTGCACAAACCTTGTAACTTTCTCAAGTACGGAGCTCCTGTGTACATGGGGTTCTCTTATTCACCTCAGCAGAGGTGAATCCCGTGAGATGTCCAAAGCTGCCCTCCTCAATGAAACAAACCGGGGAAAGTTTTACGAGAAACGGAGGCGGGGGAGAACTCTGCAGGCTGCACCGGGTTCCTTGGAGGGAGGGCGGAATACAAACGGAAGTGAGGTGTGCAGGATAACGGAGCTCCACACGTGTGAAGAGCTCCGTCATCTGCAAGAGGTCCCTGCTGAGATGACAGACTGTAGAACCAAGTTCAAGTTAGCCTTTATTGGCATAAATTGTCGATACAGATGATACAATTTTAGAGCAGATTAAAAACACACCTGTGTCTCTAGGATCCTTTGGCACAGCTTTAAAGCAGAGTGGAGAGACCGTAGAACCAGAATAGCATTAAGTCTGAATGTGAGCTTGCCTACAGATTGCCGTGTTCCCCCATCAGCTTGGCACTGTGGTATAAAACCAGACGTACTGGGGGACAAAGGCACAGCAGCGGAGAAAGGTAGCAAGTGGCAGAAAACGAAGGATCCTTCTCACACCCTGTTCCACCACCACCAGCCCCCTCCTCGGCTACGCTAGGACCTCTTTCAGCTGCACAGCTAGAGCAGGGGTCCCCAAGCTTTGGACTTCTGTCAAAAAAATGGCTGCCATAAGAGGCGGAGCCGGCCACAAAATGGCTGCCGCGACAGTGAAGGTCCTCGTGCCACGGCGGCGGCAGCTGCCGTCAAGGCAACGTATTGAAAATTCTGCACAACCAATTAAGTCTGCAGCGGCCAATTAGAATCCTTGCTGGGCCAAAGCCCCTCCTGAAAGGGTTAGTAAGGAATAGAAAAGGGCCAACTCTAAAAATCTAATCATAAAATATACAAAAATATATAAGTGTGTTTATTCAACATAAATTAAAATAACAAACAAGGGCCCATTCATACCTCATATAAAACTATAAAAACATACAAGGGCTAATAAGATAGACC